TTTATCTTCACTATGTATGTATGACCCATACATATTGATATTTGGTTATACTTTTTACTTGATTGTGACTTTCATAGCATCACTCCAAACTATGACTGCACAAACATTTATTCTAGCGCCATAACTTACTGAAATCATAGGTTACTTTTACATAATTATTTTCTATTTCATTTTTTTACCATATTGACGATACATACATAGTCGTTTATTCTTGTTCTGTGTTCATATACACACCTAATTCGCTATTTTCGTATTTCACGTTTCATTTACTTCTATATCTTTATTTTCTCCATTTCCTTCTTCAAACTCAATTACACAGGACCTGATTTATTATTATCACTCTATTATTATTACTCTCTTTTTCAAATATGGCAAATATAGTGATAAAATTATTTAAGCTCGTGTATTATTGCATTTTTTAAAGAAGCATGAAATGGTTTCTTCACAACACTTATGTAACCATAAGATGTGAAAAATAATAATAATAGGAGGAACACGGAAACAAACAGTTTATTTATTTAAAAATTATATTATAAAAATATACGTATAGTATTAGTCCAGAAATAGATTCCAACAGTCACTTTTCATTATTCTCATCAGGATTTAACAAGTTCGACATTGTCGCAACTTTTTTGCGAGTTGAGAATTTAGCAATTTTGTATCGCCATCTGGAAAATCGCTAATTGCTTCACATAGTTAACTTATCTGGCACACTTTTCAGTGATAGTATTATATCCCACAACTACCGTAGTATGTGTAAATGTGCTTTCCGAATACTTCATTGGACTAAGTGCAAGCGATCAACAAAGGAGAAATAAAAGCAAACAGGGAGGAAAAAATGGAATATTACGTAGGAAAGTAAAGAGGGAATAAAGAGGAAACTCGCGAATATTTTCTCTTTTCGTCTGTCATGAAGAAATTATGGGCAAATTTTCCCTTTTTGTCGCTTTGTGTTGGAAATGTTATCAAAATGTCTAATTTTCGCCCAAAAACAGGTGGAGATGTGTTCTTTACGCTTACTTACACGTCGAACTGTCCACTTTTTATCTATGTAATCTGTCTATGTTATGATGACACGAGTATCAACTTGGTCACGATTTGTCGTAACCACGTGTTATTTCGGAATACACTAGGGAAATAGAATAGCTTGGACGAAGTACTAAGGATGTCGATGCTAGAGAGTTACTTACTTACTTACGCCTGTTACTCCTCGTGAAGGAGCATAGGCCGCTCACCAGCATTCTCCATCCAACCCTGTCCTGGGCAATCCTTTCTAGCTCCGTCCAGTTGTAATTCATCGTTTTCATATCTGCTTCTATTATCCGACGCAATATGTTCTTTGGCCTTCCTCTTTTTCTCTTCTCTTCAGGATTCCAAGTTAGGGCTTGCCTCGTGATGCAGTTTGACGATTTGTGTAATATATGTCCTATCCATTTTCATCGTCTTTTCCTAATTTCTTCTTCAGCTGGAAGTTGGTTTGTTCTCTCCCACACAAGGCTATTGCTGATGGTATCCGGCCAATGGATGTTGAGTATATTGCGTAGACAGCTATTTATAAATACTTGTACTTTCTTGATGGTGGTTGTTGTAGTTCTCCAAGTTTCAGCTCCATACAGTAGAACTGCCTTGACGTTCGTATTGAAGATTCTCACTTTGATATTGGTTGAAAGTTGTTTTGAGTTCCATATGTTCTTTAACTGTAGGAATGCTGTCCTTGCTTTGCCAATCCTTGCCTTTACGTCTGCATCTGAACTTCTTTGTTCATCGATGATGCTTCCTAGGTATGTTAAGGACTCTACATTTTCCAGAGTTTCGCCATCAAGAGTGATTGGATTGTAGTTTTTCGCTTTGAATTTGAGGACTTTGATTTTCTCTTTGTGTATGCTGAGGCCTACTGATGCAGAGACTGCTGCTACACTGGCTGTCTTCATCTGCATCTGTTCGTGTGTACGTGATAGGAGGGCTAGGTCATCTGCGAAGTCCAAATCGTCTAATTGATTTCGAGCTGTCCATTGAATTCCGTGTTTTCTTTCAGATGTCGAGGTCTTCATAATCCAGTCGACCACCAGAAGAAAGAGGAAGGGAGAGAGTAAAAAGCCTTGTCTGACTCCGGTCCTTACTTGGAATGCATCTGTCAGCTGTCCTCCATGCACGACTTTGCACTGTAGTCCGTCGTATGAGTTCCGGATAATGTTGACAATCGTCTCAGAGACTCCATAGTGTCGAAGAAGTTTCCATAATGTCCTCCTATCTACACTGTTGAACGCTTTTTCATAATCAATGAAGTTGATGTATAGTGATGAGTTCCACTCAACTGATTGTTCGACGATGATCCGTAGTGTTGCAATTTGGTCTGTGCATGATCGATCATTACGGAATCCAGCTTGTTGATCTCGAAGTTGGGCGTCTACTGCATCTTTCATCCGGTTCAGCAACACTCTGTTGAAGACCTTCCCTGGTATTGACAACAGTGTAATGCCTCTATAGTTTTCACATTTGCTCAGATCTCCTTTCTTTGGAATCTTGACGAGGTGCCCTTCTTTCCAGTCCATCGGCACTTGTTCCTCTTCCCAAATCTTTTTGAATAGAAAGTAAAGCATGTTTGTAGTTGCTTCGATGTCTGACTTCAGTGCTTCAGCTGGTATGTTGTCCGGACCCGCTGCTTTTCGGTTCTTGATTTGTCTGACGGCCATTCTGATTTCTTCCTACGTTGGTGGGTTGACGTCTATGGGGAGATCTATGTGTGCCGCTTCGATGTCCGGTGGATTCATTGGAGCCGGCCTATTCAGGAGTTCCTCGAAGTATTCTACTCATCTGTTCCGCTGTTGTTGAATTTCGGTGATTGGCTTGCCTTCTTTGTCTTTGACCGGTCTCTCTGGTTTACTGTATTTCCTTGCTAGTTTCTTCGTTGTATCATGCAGCTGTTTCGTATTTCCTTCTCTAGCAGCTTTTTCTGCCGTCGTTGCTAGTTCTTCTACGTATTTCTTCTTGTCGGCTCTAATGCTCCTCTTCACTTGTTTGTTTGCTTCTATGTATTCAGCTTGTGCTTGGACTTTCTCTGCTCGTGTTCGGCTGTTGTTAATTGCTGCCTTCTTGTTCTTCCTTTCTTTGATCTTGTCCAGTGTTTCTGTAGAGGTCCATTCCTTATGATGGTATTTATTTAGACCCAGAACCTCTTGACATGTTGAAGTTAATGCTTGTTAGATACTTTTCCAGTTATCCTCCATAATAGTTTCTCCTTTCAGTAGATCTTGTAAGGCTTGGAACCTGTTGTTGAGAGCTATCTTGAATTCATTGAGTCTGTCAGTATCTCGAAGGAAGGCTGTATTGAACATTTGTAGTGCTGTTTGTCCAGTTTTCCAGTTCTTTTTTAGCTTCAGTTTTAAATTGGCTACAACTAGGTGGTGATCTGAAGCTACATCAGCGCCTCTCCTGGTTCTCACATCTTCCATTGTCCTTCGGAATTTTTTGTTGATGCAAATATGATCTATTTGGTTCTCTGTAGTGTGGTCCGGTGAGATCCATGTAGCCTTGTGTATACGCTTGTGTGGAAATATTGTGCCTCCTATGACCAATTTGTTGAATGCACATAGATTTGCAAATCTTTCTCCATTTTCGTTTCTTTCTCCCAGTCCATGTCGTCCCATAATATCTTCATATCCAGTGTTGTCTATTCCGACTTTGGCATTTAGATCTCCCATCAGAATAGTTAGGTCCTTTCTTGGGCATTTCTCAATGACTGACTGCAGTCGCTCGTAGAACTGATCTTTAATGTCGTCGTTGCTATCATTTGTGGGTGCATAACATTGGATAATATTCATTAGGATCCTCTCCTTCTTTGTTTTGAATGATGCTTTGATGATTCTGGATCCGTGAGATTCCCATCCTACAAGTGCATTTCGTGCTACTTTAGACAACATAAGAGCGACTCCCTGAGTGTGTGGAGCATTGTCCTTTTCGTGACCGGGGTATAGCAGCATCTCTCCCGTAGCTAGCCTTTTCTGTCCAGCTTGAGTCCAGTGGGTTTCACTGATTCCCAGTACTGCTAAGTTGTATCTCCTCATTTCCATTGCTATTTGACTGGTCTTCCCGGTTTCCCACATTGTTCCATGTAGTTATAAAAATTTTTGCTCTGGTTGTTAGAAGGTGCATCGGCCTCGTGGCTTCCGAAGGAACTCGGCTTTCACCATGAAGCGTCATAATTCTTCTAAATGAAGATTTTGTAACTCCCAGGGCAGAGTTTAAATGGTTTGGATTATTTTTTCTGGTAAGCGTTTTTTTAGCGAGTTAGTTTTCTACGGGATGGGGACGCTAACCCCATGCCCAACCCTCCTCCTTTACCCGGGCTTGGGACCGGCATTAACCCTATAAGAGCTACAGGCGGAGTTGCTAGAGAGTTAGCGGATGACATAACTCAAAAAAGGATACTACGAACGTTGAGCTGTCATATTATCATATTATCGTATTCATTAGGATGCCTACATTCTAGTCATGTGATATTTTCAAATATCTGGCGAAGATCCGCTCGGTCTGTATAACTTGTCTCTTTTATTGAAGGATTTGAACCAGCTAATTCTTCAAATACCTAAGCCCTCTCTATAAACATTTGAGGTGTATATCACCTGTAGGATACTCGCCTAAGTTCAGCACAAACACAAACCTGGAAGAAACAAAATAGTATTAAAGGTAACTAACAGAAAACTGAAGACAGCTTCTGCTCCCTAAAGTTAGCCAAACTTTGGGGTTTACTAACACTTAGGGCCGTTTAAGAAACCTTCCAGAAGTCCCTAAATAGGGACCCAAAGTGAAATTTCAGTAATTGGCCGACATCTCCATTATTTCTTTTTATTTCATTTATCAAGGTCCGTAACTAGAGGCACAGGTTATCCATTGTTACCACAAACGAAGGTATAATAAGTAAAGGCTTCTATTACATCATCAACCACTTCGATAGTTTGAATTAATCGATAGTTTAAAAGTCTTTGAATCAGTTCGATATCATGTCATGGCAAGCATTTCTGATTTTTGGAGCAATATTGTATGAAATTGATACTATACAGTCTGCTATTGTACGTTTTGTTTTTCTTACTCATGTTGCGCGATATCAGAAAATGAAAGCTGTAAGGCATTTAAAAGCTTCTAGTGTTTTGCCTGTTCTATTGTGTTGCTTATATTCTGAACTACTTTAACATGAGCTGAAGTCTTAGTTTGGTTATCATCATCCTAATAACCTTCATTACCATGTCAACGTCCATTTTGAAAGATAGCTAAGTGAGTTCACCTCAAGTTATCCATTATAACGTTTATATTATATGGATTGGTTGTGTAAAAACAATGGTGCGTAACGAATTCTGAGTAAGTATTTGAATGTGTCTGGATAGGTGAAGTGATATAAAATATTTCAAGTCAACATAGGCAGGAGCTCCTAAAACGGATAGGTTGATAGTTGTCATATCTTAACGTTTATAGACTAATACCAAGTACCAGGAGAGTTATAGACTATTACTTTACCGTATTTGATGGTCTCTGGTGGTTTCTTACACTTCATCAGCTTTTAGTCAATTCTCTGCATTAGACAATGGTAATTCACTAACCTGTCCTTGTTGGGTTTATTTGTTTTTCGAGATTAGTTTTTGGGATCGTGGAATCGAAAATTGAGTGTAACAAAACGCGCTTAACAATCTTCATCTTCACAGTCTTCAGCTTGAGCTCATCACAGGACACTAGATTAGGCTACTGTGGTTATCAGTAAACGACCAAAAAGCCGGTTCTGGATCACTATTTCTTGTTTCAACAACTACTTCATTGTTCTTAACCATCAGAAGTGCGAATTCATAAACTTTTGTCCTAGTTTAAAACCTACGATATTGAGAAAGTTGAATTTTGCAATTTTTAGTATAGTTTCTTGACATAAATGTATACATATCTTCCAAATACTTCACTGTTCCATTTGTTGTTTTTTCTTTGAGGTTTTAATGGACGAAAGCAAATCACTTCATTTATTTGTGACTGTTTCTTGGTGCTGAGATGCCGTTTCAGATGTCTTGCGAAGATGTATAGTTTATATCGTCAGTCGCTGTTATTTTAGTAATTAGTCTCCAGCGACAGATTATGATTATCTCACAAGCGTTAACTCAGTGATCTGTGAAGACTAAATCGGCATTAATTAGACTCCTGAAGTGATCCTGTGTCTTACTTCAGCTAACGTTGCTCCTCAATTTATGCCATATAAACAGCATATTAATACTTACTTGTCGTAAATTAAATTGTTATGACCCTAGTATGTATTGTATGTAGTTTATTATGGTCGGGGGATAGTCCTTTAAATGATCACATATACGATCAGGAAACATTTGTTCATTGAAAAAGGTTAGGTTGACTAATTTTTGTATTTTTTCTGTAGACTTATCAAAAGTGATAATTGTTCCGCGCTTATTTTCTTTTTACTGTTTTTCAAATGATATATTCAAATAATAAAAATATTTGGCAAATTATTATTTTTTACTTACTTTAGCCCGACCTATTTAACTAAAAATGGGATACCATGCGATTGGGAAGACATTATATTTTTCAATAAATTTGTGCCTGGTGTTATTACTGCTGTGGAGTGGTGTTCACTGGTACACAGATTCAGAATCCAATAGATGTATACTCACTCGGATGATGAGTTTTCCCGAATACAAAGTAAATTTTTATTAAATAGTTTATCTTTAGGAAGTCAATGTTGATTGCCAACGAAAATGCTACGTAGGCTATGCCCTGTATCAATATTGGGAAGGGTATATTCAAACACTTTATTGTGTTTATTTATTTTTTCTCTTTCTTCAGTTATAGATTCCGGTATTTCACAAAATTTTACAATGCTTATTTTAGATCCGGACTCTACAATTCGCCAGTTTTGTTTATTACAGGTTCTCAAGGAAGTTTCAAGACAGTCAGATCATTAGCAACAACTGTCTATAATTTTGCACAATATAGTTCATCACTTGATTACTACAGTGTTGATTTCAATGAAGTAAGGGGATGTATATACTTATTTTAATACACTGATTAAATACACGTATGCCTATATATGTCGTTTTATAAGTTCTCAGTAGCTGATAAAATAATATGCTCATTCATTTTATTTTATGAAAAATGTTGTACGACTTTGGTGCATGAAAATGTGCACCTATAGTTTTCAATAAGATGGGTCACTATGACTTAGACTTGTCTCATTTTATCTAAATTGCGGTAGTGATTTGAGATTTCAATCAACATTTAGAGGCTTCTTAGATCTTGATTTCTGGTGAAGTTCACTAAGAGCCCTAAACAAGCGGAAACATAGCAGCAGCGATCGAGAAGCAGACTCAAGGTCCTGATTCCGGTTGGTCAGCTAAGTAGGATCCTTTCATAACATCAGAGGGACCTAGGTGTTTATCAAATGTGGTTGGTTGCAACTGCTACCCAGTTGTTTGATAACCAGTCTTTCAATCCACTCACGATATCATGTACTTTTCTTAAAAAAAGCTTCCAACAGCATTCCAGTATTCATTTACAATCCTGAACATAAAGATATCTTCGATACATGTTTCAAGCGTTAGGGAAATACATTTAACATAGGGGTGCGTGGAAAACCCTCTTGTTTTTGCGGGTGCTCGGTATTGGTGAGCATGAACATTATGCCGACTGTATTTTAACAACATTGCCTCAGAAACTCAGTTGCAAAGATATAATAATTCATCTTTCACATATTTATCTGAATGTTTGAACCTAACACTCGATCAAGTGACAAAGTAGTTTTCTAATCCCGGTTTCATAAAGCAACTGAAGATCTCAGATAGTTACTAAGCCTTTGAACTGACCGTCTGTCAGTGAGCATCACTTAGGTCCTTCACACTCTCGGTTGCCAATATCTAATGACGTACCATAGTAATCTGTTTCATGTCTCACCAAATTATGACATTGATATCTAATATCTAACAATTGAGACGATTTACCAAATGCATCGCACGCGAGTACAACCTCTAGACTACTGAGTCAATATACGACCATTTAAATGTTTGAAATCAATCAATTTATAATATCGCACAGCCATTCCCCAATGTCATTGTTGGGTAACTGCCTTGCACTTGATAGGGTTCGACTCCGCTGATCACGGCTTCTCAAAAAATCTCCGAAACTACCTTTTAAAGTTAGTCGCTAGCAAGCACTAATATATATATATATATATATATATATATATATATATATATATATATATATATATATATATATATATATATAGCACATGTTTTTTAACCGTTTAATTGTCTTTCAATCTTTGGAATTCCCTGCTTCAGTTAATTATCAGTAATTTGTCATCATTATTTAGCCCCATTAGTGACATGTTTAACCGTTAACATAGTTGAACTTCATCAACCACATTTGACTGAAACTTTTATAGTTTATTTTAAAGCCAACTAATCACTAGTGTGAATGACCAGTTATTAGTATTATTGAGATGAAGTGTTGATTAGGAATGCTCGTCTTAAAATTATTTTTTTAATCACAAACTGTTAACTTTAAAATAAATATCAGGAATTAGATCAAATAATATTTACTGGATTGCATATTACTGAGTAGTTCCAAGTTAAGTGGAAATAGTTGAATTACTGGTTGGTGAAAACTGGCTTATGTTCTAGAAGTGCTTTTTTCTACTATTCTAGTGTTCATCTGTTTATTACAGGCACATTAGAAGCTCTACATACGTGTATACATAAAATCGAGGAACATTTTAATTATAGAAATTAATAGAGTTGATGACTTATTGACGAAACTTAAGGAAGGAAAAATATGTTAAGTATGATATAATCACTAATAATAACAATAGTAATGGACGAATGGTTGCTCAAATCAAAGATTAGTTGAAGTCAAACATTATTTCATTTAAATGCCGGCTTAGTGTTCTAGAAATTAAGCGTTTGCTTGCACGAGTTAGTGTATGTGCAATGTTGAATAGTCCTATGCTAAGACGAAACGGCCGTCCACTGTTTCCAGGTTTTCAATGATAGTCTAGCTCAGATCAGTTCGCGGCATTAATGTTTTGTAATTTTTTGAACTTTTCACAAAGTTGGACAGTGGTTCTTCAAGTTAGTATACCTGAAAATTTTTTTAAAATGTATTTAAGTAAAAAGAGGAGAAGGCGTTAAAAAAGGCTGGGTGTATAACTCAGTAATTAAATTATATTTGTTAGTTAGAGCGATTTTAGTCTGTTACAAGCAGTATAGAAACTTAGAACAAATGCATGTCGGTCTATATTGTCACGCTATATCAGCATAGTGAGATAAAAATTATCTAAAAATATACTAAAGTGTTAGTGACAGTGTCAGTTAAATGATTAAAAAGAGAATATTATTTGAAAAGGTGATGGTTATGTAACTCATCAAACTAATTTCATTTGTTGATTATAACAGTTGAATCTTATGATATTGGAAATTGTGTTTATACACCAAGTTATTGATTGATCACTGTCGAATGCTACTGAGTTAAAATTGTGTTTAAATCTAACTACTGATCAGTAAAAAAACTGAAACATAAAAATCTGTGTGAGTTCTTGATCTATTTTTGAAGGTATAGTAAACTTTGACCTATCGTCTTTATCTGTTGTTGTTTTGTTCACAAATGGTCCGTTCTTGTCGCAAACTACAAAATACAGTCACCTCTTTATTAATCATAACGATGTGCTTACTGGTGACTAATTTCCAAAAGTAATTCATAGATTTCCGATATGAAGTCATGACCAGTGAAGTTCAATTTTGTCAGTAGGGAAGCAGTAATCCACTAGTGTATCAGATAACGGTTGTTCAATATCACGAATTTATTGAAGTTAAACATGCCGATTATTGGATTCCAGCTTAGTCATTTAATGGTTAAGAATTCGCATACAAGATATGAATGCGCTTCCAGGTTTCCAACTATTAAATTACTAAAATCTCCACAAAACTTTTCTGATAAGAATCAATATTTATCAAAAATCTCCCTATTCCTATGTAAATTTTATTGGTCAAATAACCTACTATATAAGCGACATCTTTCTTATTTATGTGTAAAGCTTAACTTCAAAAAATTATTTCTATATTTTAATTTAATTTTATTTGGACAAGTAATTTTTTGTAAGTTTCATTATCTCGACTTTCAGCATAATTAACTTTGTTGCCTCCTATTGCCCTGGTACGGCTAAGAGTGGGGAGAGTCAGCTCTCCCTCTCCAAACGCTCTCACATGGCCACGTGCATACAACCACTGCCAGTGAAGTCCTACTCACTGACTTCTCGTGACATTACTGTTGTTTACGGAATTGAGAGGATGTAAAGCAAATGTCCGGCGCTTTAACCCGGTCAGTTGACGTAGAAAGTCCACATAGGGAAGTTGGAAAACCCTGATTTCAAACCAATAGTGCATATGGGTTCCAGGATCCTAAGGAAACAAATGGCGTACGAACCGATTATTGGTCACCGGCTACCATGGCACTGCATCTCCTCACATTACTCCACTGCCATTTGGATTAAACATTGAGATCATATGCTTCAGGTGTGTGGCTTCCTAAGAAAACCACGTGGTTAGGTTTGGGCACCCGGGCAGTATCCCAGCCCTCACACGAATTGAATGATTTATGTGATGCATATCTATTTGGTGCTTCCTTGTACCAATGTTTATGTGTTTAAATTAGTTAATTGAAATTCTTTACAAATACTGTTATCAACAAAATAATTCATAGATTCAACTATTTTAGTTATTTCTTTGCTTATATTTTAGGAACCGTCTGCTCTCAGTGGTGAAATTATTGAACGTCAAACTGGTAATTATCAATATTAATATCCTTTTAAATTTCTTTTAGATTTTGTGGATAAAGCGATCGATACTATTTTAGGAACATATGCTAACCGACCTAATCCTCCTGAACATATCGTGTTAATAGGTCATTCTGTTGTAAGTTGATTTCATAGACACACATACGCGCGCGTGAAAAATTGTGTTTTTTGTTTGTCTGTCTGTTTCGTAATCTCAGAATGATGACATGAAAATTTAGTTGTGATTAGCAACAACTAAGATAAATTAATGGTTTATTTAATAATGTTATAAACTATCATATCTGTTGAACAAGTGAATAGATATATCGATTCAATAATTCAGTGGATATTGTGTTGAGGTTTGAAAAGAAACTTACTAGGTTTGAGTTTCAGTGTGAATACCAACACTATGATGTAAGTACATTCTACTGATGAGTTTCAAATGAAATAAAACACGAGCTTTCAAATCCATTGAGATAGTTTAATTTAATATTAATCGATTATCAAATACATTTTCGTATGCTGAGTCTCTGTGACGGCTAACGATATTACTTGAGTGTCCAACTTAAAGTGAAGAAGGGTCGGAATACGTTAACTATTCATTAAAACTCAAGCGCATCACGATAAAGTCTAAGCCAACTGTTATGTTAATAACCTTTTAGAACCGTAAATCAAATCGATTGCTGAATCGTTGGTCTGTAGGCTACACCTTCGACTTCAAGTTCTAGGCCTTAAGGTAACGGAACAACACTAAATGTTATTCTACTGTAGATGATGACCAAAGTATAGTTGCACGTCGTTCTGTCCCACAGGATCATAGAAGCACTATTCAGTAATAGTGTGAAATTAAGGTTTACCAATTCCGTCAACTGAACTTTGGGCTTCCACCAATTCGATTTATTCATTTGATGTCTACTTTGGCCTCTTAAATCCTATCGAAATAATCTCTCCACTTGAGTGGAACTTCCCTAGAATAAGCTATTGATACATGATCACAAATGACTTTTGAGAGAAGAAGGTCTGTTTGAGGATTGATATGACATATTATGAATATTTGTCAGCGTCAGTACACTAGAAAATAAATACATTTAGCTGATAAGTAACAAGGTAAGCGAAACGAATATTCTGTTGTGCTTTTTTCTTAAAAACAATAATGTTATTAGTTTTATTTTGAATTTTATTCATTTAATTAGCTTTTATCCTGAAATCCAATATTCATTATCTTTTTCGTCGTCGAAGTATTGTGATATAGTCGTCTGGTTTATCCATTCACTCACATTAGGTTCGCTGTTACATTTATTTATAGTATCTCTACGACCCTATTCACAAAAAAGCCATATTCATTTAAATTGTGGTGACATGAATTATCCCGTTAATGATATTTTGACTAAAATTTAGTTAATCTTAGTTTGTATATGTATATCCTGTGTGGATTGCCTTGATGTACCGATTATCACGCATATTTATTTAAAAAAAAGTAAATGGAATGTGGCTGACAGTGAAATCTACGACGCGCATTTCATCTTGTTTGGGACTAGTCAGCTGTCTGTACATGCATCCGAAAGTTGATATTTTCTCCGTGATGGGACTCCTCATCAGTGCACATTCGCTAACTGAACCCACGACCCACGAATCCTTACCCTCCACATCAATCGGTCAGGATCCAATGAAAATTTTATGATCTCCACATAACTATATTCCCATAATAATCATGTACTCACTAATGACTACCTTCAAAATGGAGCCAATGTGCACCATTGGTTTGGAATCAGGGTTTTCCAACCTCCCTAGGTGGACCCTCCGTGTCCACCAACCTGGTTAAAGCGCCGGACATTCGCTTTTTGTCCTCCCAATTTCGTAAACAACAGCAATGCCGCGAGAAGGTAGTGAGTAGGACTTCCCTCTCAGTGGTATTCACGTGGCTATGTGAGAACGTTTGGAGAAGGAGAGCTGACTCTCCTCACTCTCAGCCGTACCAGGGCATTTGGGGGACCTAAAGAGACAAGTGCAGCAGTCAACACAGCTCAGTTAAATCATTATGATATCCATTCACGATCAACACATCAGGGTATTAGCTATAGTACGTTAGAACCTTCGGTTTCTCAGATGAACGCTTAACTTCTAAACCATTGAGCTGGCATCCTTTGGTTTACATGTCTAATCTCAATCAATTCACAATATTGCACGACCATTTCCCATTACTAACGGGGGATAATTGTCAATGTATTATTTGTACCAATTGATTCCCCTTGTTCTCTTATTATAATGAAGAGTCCCATACTATGACGAAAAGACCATCCAGTGCTTCCAGGTTTTCCATGATGGTCTAGTTTCAATTGACTCTTATTACAATCAGTTTATGTTTTGTTATCCTGTTCTCATCTAACTTTATCACTCATTTTACTGTTGTTTTTTTTCAATAGGGTTCTGTAGTAATTTTCAACTTGTTATCATCACGTTGGAGTATAACTCAAACTAAAGTCAAATTAGTTTTATCTTTGGCTGGTCCGATTTATCAACCAGGTTAGAATAGTTTGATAATTGATGGTTAAAGTTTCATAAAATATCATTATATATATATATATATATATATATATATATATATATATATATATATATATATATATATATATATATATATATATATATATATATATATATATATATAGAGAGAGAGAGAGAGAGAGAGAGAGAGAGATGGATTATTGGGAAACATTTAACCTTGACTAAGAAGAGAATCACTGTGTAGGTGGCTATACATTACATTAGACTTAATTTTATATTAAATAAAGTCAATATATGCTTTACAAGTTATTTTAGTTATCACCATTTTGCATATATTGACTTAATTAAAGTATCATTGTTTGTTTTTATCATAATTACTCATTTGTTATCCGATAAGTTTTATAGTTATTTAGTTGTTATCAATGTAGATCCTAGCAACAAATGTCCTTTGACCTTATTTACTATATAACATTTGAATTACCAAATAGAATTAACAAACTAAGTATCAAAGAAGTCAAAATAGCAATGATAATCATAAAGACTTGACAATAAAAATATGATTTGAGAAGAACTAATGAAAAAGTTTTTATATGAAGGAATACTGAGACGTAAATTTTAGAGTAAGATGCATCTGTGTCACTGTGATCGATTCTAAGACATGTTACCTATTTTGTCCAACCATTGATTTCATTTGTCACGCGAATACTAACCATATAGTTTAACAACCTTTGATATCTCGGATGAATAAATTCGCATATACAGAATAGTAGCAATTCCGTAAAACATATATGCAGTCGGTTGGGAAATTGTATCGTCACAACAACATAGGTTTTATTAGCAGAGATGTATGACGGCTAGCAATGGACTCCAGAGCACACATTTCGTCCTACTTGGGACTCGTCAGGTGGGTGTACCTATATTCCAGAGGACTAGAACACAGCGCCGTTGTCTTTAAGTGCCATCGCGTTATTTATATAGCTACTGAGTTCAAATAACCACTGATTTATGCATTGGGGTGAAGCTTAATTTATTTGTATTAGTTTTTCGAATTTTTCTTATGATATAAGGCAATATCGAGGTAATTCGCACTGTAGGCACATATACCATAAAAAGACTGATCTATCGCAGCACTAAACATCAACGGAAAGTTCAAAACAACCAATTTAAGTGGAGTATAGGTTTTAGTTTTATGATAGTTCTATTCAAAAAAAAAATCCTCAGTATTCCATTTTGTTTTGTGCTAAAAGGTATTGGAGGTAAAGTTAAAGAAAAAAATACTCAACAATGATATTTTATAAGAGTAAACATAATTATAGACGTTTGAGAGGTTATCATAGAATTTATAAATTATTGAGTAATTTCAACTTTCACTGTTACCAAACCACCATGGAAAACCTGGAAGCACTGGACGGCCGTTTCGTCCCAGAATGGGACTCCTCACGATCCTGCCTCGCAAGATTCGAACCCAGGACCTATCACTCTGTAGTGAGATAGTGACTCACTGATGACAATGGTGGCGCAACTTCGTGGATTGGTTGAAATTAGACATTAGCACTGTTTGTTACCGGCTCACTGGTCCAGAGGTTAAGCGTTCCCGCGCGAGGCTGATAGGTCCTGGGTTGGAATCTCGCGAGGTGGGATCGTGGATGCACACTGCTGAGGTGTTCCATAATGCAACGAAACGGCCGTCCAGTGCTTCCAGGTTTTTCATAGTGGTCTAGCTTCAGTTGGCTAGTGATTTCAACTATTAAGATTAAAAGTTACACTTAACGAATTGAGTGTTATTCCTATATTTTTTTATATATATTTCAAATTTTACCAAATTGTTTATGCAACTTGTCAAAATTCTCTTTCATATTCTTATTGTTTATACTTTTTCCATTGAATATCAAATATTAGCAAGTCATGATCAAGGTAGAATATGGTACAAATATGTTTCGGCCTAAGGTACCATATCACCTGAACACTATGAGATCAAATCAATAAGATGTATAGGAAAGGATTTAGTAATAATCAAGAAGATTAAATATTGAGAATTTACTTTGAAAAGATATATGTCAATGTATCCTATTTTAAATCATACCATCTGGCTTGTTCAACCACTAATCATAGTTATTTAATAAGCTACTACAATCTAGTAGTTTGAATCTATTAGAATAACTCAGATGAATAGTCAATGAATTTGTGATTGATTACATATTTCAGTTTAATCGCATTTTAGCTGATCAAGCGAATTCAGTTCTTTCAGATTATATCTATATGAAAACGTGTTATAGATTAATTTTGTCTTGTTATTTATTTATTTCCTTGAACACATGAATATTAGTACAAGGAGTCACCAAATAGATGTGCGCTCACAAGTCACTTGATTTGTGTGTGGTTTGTGATACTGCCCGGGTGCCTAAACCGAACCACGTGGTTTTCTCAGAGAGGCACACCCGGAGCCTTTGACCTAAAGGTCTAATCCATAAGGCAGTGGAGCAACGTTGGGCGGTGCATTCCCATGGTAACCGATGACCATTAATTAGCTCGTATGCCATTTGTTCCTTTAGGATACTGGATCCCATGTGCACCATTTGTTTGGAATGAAGGTTTTCCAACTATCCTAAGTGAACTCCCGTGTCTTAACTTTCATGACAGATTGTTTTAGTATTATCCCAATATACAACTTTTCGAGAGATGACTAAAACTAATTCTTTTTTTGTCATTGTTTTCACAAAAGGTGTAACTATTGGTATACAAATTGTATTCTTTCCTTTTGTTTCTAGTTAATTCTAAAACATTTTGAACTACATTCACTTGATGTTGTTTTACTTGTATCTCCCCATTGTTATTTAGGACTGCAATTGGTCAGTCTCATGTTGGCATATGTGCATCCTGTGCGGATTGCCTCGATATGACCTTACGTCACAAGCGTTTTAAGCAAAGATGGACAGTGGCTAGCATTGGAATCCAGGACGGGCGTTTCACCTTATTTGAGACTCTTCATCAGTTGGATGTACTTGCATCTCAGAGTTGATGTGAATTTAAACTTTACCCTATTGCACAAACAAGTAGTCACCACTACTTATTAGCTAAGTGAGTAACGCGATGGCGTTTTAGGCGAACGGTACTGAGTTCGAGTCCCAGGATGAACGTCAACTCTGCGATGCAGGTACATCCAGCTGACGATTCCTAAATAGGGTGAGATGCACATCCTGGATTCCTGTAGTTGCCATGTTTGCTTAAAAAGCATTGTGAACTACTTTTAAATTATTTTTAGTATTACTTTACATAAAATTCATTATTCGTATGAATTCTTGATTATTCTCTCATTTATATAAGCTGTCAAGATGTTTTTTTCAGGGTTAGATAAGAAGTAGGTTTTCCTGTTTAGTGAAAACTTTCTAGTACATACATCAGACAATAATACAATGGTGTGTTTGTGACATTTCGATTATTTCAAGAGTAATTTGTAATAATAATAGTAATAATGTACTCAAGTTACTTCGTTACGGAATGTTAGAGCAGAAGTAAGCCGATGAGAAATTTATTTTATCTCGCTATGTAGAAGTGTTGTAGCAATTTGGATCGATGAATATAATTGGTGAGGTCTTTTCTTTGGTATTGTCCGATTAAGTTGTTGAAACTTTTTGGGATCCAATCCATGTGATTATGTTGTGTTTTTTCGTTTTCAGTCATGATCTGTTAAGTTGAGGAAAAATGAGCAGTAATATTGAGTTAAAGAGAATAAGATCAATCTCGAGCACTAGACAAACATGATATCGACAACTCCTAGGTGACCAGTTAATATCAATGCCCTAATAGCTCCGTGACATTGTATTAGACCATAAAACTGGGTAACATCGATTTTAGTTTAACTGAGTTTTAATTTCCTCAATGTTGTAGGTAAACCTTTCTGACAAGTATATACTGGTATGAAACTTTAAATCTAGGTCTCCTACCAACTACCTGAAATATAATCTGAGAGTATATTCTTCGTAGCGATTTTCAAATTGATTAAAAGTAGTTGAGCAATATTGTAATTCATAACTTTATTCTTATGATAGTAAAACTGATGGGACGATGGTCTATGACTGACCTTTCAGCGATGCCAAAGTGACCTTGGGAAAGTCCACCCCCTGGATCTAAAGCGCGTTATAAATTAATGTGAGAAATCAGAATTGGGATTCAGAGTATGAAGTGAGGTTTAGGAATTAAAGTTAGGTTTCTTATTGCGAACATCAGCTATATTGGTAAAACCCTATTTAGCCGTATGGATGAATTAATTTCGTATCGAAATCCAAGACACGCTATCTTAAATGTAATTATTTCTTCCATAAATCCTAGTCTCGCCCTAAAGCTTAGTCACTATTGGTAAAATGTGGTTATCTTATAGTATATTGATCATTCGTTGACCTTTATAAGTTGGATACAGAAAATAGAATAACTTAATAGTTAATTTATTCATATTATTATTCATATTGTTTGTTTGTACTCCGGTCCCTGGTTTAATCATTAATGGCTTGTGGAGCGGAGTTGGGAGGAGATCTAATAATGACTCTTTCTTGAAACTGATCCGGCATCTACATTATAAATTCAATACATTTCTCAAGTTGACTTGATAATGGACAATATACTTGGACGGTTTGATGAGGTGATATTATTGAGAGTTAGGTCCCTTGGTATTATGGTCTATGTCCCTGTCAAAGACCACGTAACTAAATCACGAATTAGAACACCGACTTATATTACCTTGGTTCTGTGTAAAGTAATGATACATCAACCAACACGAACAGCCCAGAGTCAACTCTGGATCCTTATTGGTTCTACTTGCCTTGCCCTGCCCATTGAGTCCAGAAAACAATCTTAAACTTCACTGTATGAATCGTATATTTCAGGCATATGTGGTTCATATAGAAGCAGATCAGACCGCGTCACACTATAAAATGAAAAAATAATTATTATACAAGATCAAACCAAACTTGGCTGTGAGTGTGCGAGACTGTAACTAATAAATTGGAAGTTAAGAATGTTAAATCATATCTACATAGCCAATAAGTCAAATGTATGTATATATATAATCTCGCTATTTAATAACTATCCAGTAAGAATATATGTCATAATAGGTGATAAATAATTCCTGGAAGTCACCATTCATTTATTATTCGTTCGGCTATAACAGTGTGCTACTTTCGGGGTCGACATTTTGTAACCTGTTGTCGGGAATGCAAATGGTGCAGTCATAACCCTATACAATTAACATTACGTTTTTGTTTTCTGGACCTAAGTTAATATTTTCGGTTTGACTGTTCTCCAACCTATGTGGCTCTCATGGTTGAACCTATGGAAATAAGTGTTCCAGCTAATATACAGATCGGACTTCTATATCAAGGTGAGAGTTACAGTCAAACTATCACTGATACTGTTTCTACTTTTACTACTCTGATTGTTTTAAAAAATTATATACTGGGCATTATCCAAGTCTTCAAATGTGAATAGTTGGATAAATTCACCGTGCATCCCTATCTTATTCCCATGTATGTGATATAAATACATAAATATGTTGTTGATACTTGTAAAAAGTGTATCACTTTTAGAAAATTGTTTGTCATAAACTCGAAAATGGCATCACTGTTGTTGTTGTAGTTAAATTGACCAGTACCGAAATGCGCAAAATTTTAGTTAGTTGGTATTAATTATCACAGTACCATGTATAAGTCAAGTCACTACTTAACGCTGAGGTGTTAAACTTACTAGGTTACTAGGTAAAAATGTCTAATAAATTGATGAGATAGTGACTGTTCATCGATTGAGGTGTCTTGGACATATTTCACTTATGTCTAATCACCGTCTACCTCGACGCACGATGTTTGCTGATGTAGGAGTTATCTGGAAGAGAGGTAAAGACTGTAAAACATAGACTTAGCATCAGTTTATCGAGTCATTAATAGTTAAACTGAGATGTTTTGTTATGTAAACACTACCTGATTGGTGTCTGCAGGTCTAACATGGTCAATTGTTAAAGAAGCTGGATGTTATAGGTTAAAATCAGTCAAGACTAAGTAGTAAATGTATTCACGTTTTGTCATTCACCAAATTTTGATTCTTAAAATTATTTTATACTTTTCTATTCCATAGATTAATTGTTCCTTATCGAATTATTTTATAATTTTTCTTACTGCCACTAACATTATTACTACCACTTGTATTGCACTTCTATTTGTCTTCCTAATTTGATCTAACTGTGTTAATACATGATGTGACGATTTGCAACAATGAAAATGGAATGAATAATACCATTCTATCTAGTTATTTATATTACTAGCTATGATTGACTGTTACTATGTATTATCCATTTATGGTTACTTCATACGTTATCAGTAGTTCTATTTTAACTGTTAGAATTAAGTCATTTGTATTGGTTGTTCTAATCCTTCCATTGATATTATGAACTGCAGTTGATCAGTCTATCTTGGTATTATGTACATGATTTGCGGATTATTTTGATATTGCCATTAGATTACGTCAGCCCATCAGCGGTGTTACTTAGTGGCTAGCAGTGGAATCTTGGACCAGAGTTTCATCCTACTTGATATTTGTCAACTCAATGTACTCCAATGCTGATATCAGAGTTCTATTGCTGGTGTAATTGTCATCAATGAACTGCTGGTAGATTCAACTGAAGAGTCCCATACAAGACATGTTTGCTAAACTTCACTTTTAGTCTCTATCCAACTTTGCTTATAAAATGTTAGGGTTAGGATTTAGGATAGCCCTAACAGTTGTATTCAGTTATTTTTTAAACTACTAGTGTTTTTTCGTTTTTCTTATCTATACACTTTAGTTATTTTGCCAGACCGTTCAATGGCGCAAATTTATCAACGTATACACAATTATTTGGATGAGATTTCAAATATTCCCGATTATCCTTTAGTAATTATATCAATTACAGGTGGTTCTCGAGATCGAATTGTAAGCATTCATTGTTTATATTAATTAGCAATTACTGTCTGTATATGTTCTCAACATTTAAGTTTTTGAATTCTTTAACAAAAACCTGTTTCAACACTATATGTAAGTCTGTGGTGTATGCTACTAATGTTAACAGACATAAGTAATATGTAACATCAATCAAAAGTTGAACTTCTAAAAGAAGAAGGCTGAGAAGGTCGAATTGAAGCAAATAGAAAGGAATTGTGTATTGAAAGAATCAAACAGAATGTAAAAGAGAATTGATGGAAGATTTACAAATGAAGCATTTAGTGTATGGCTCTTATATTTTACGAAGATATTCTATAATTTTGTATGATATACTAAATTGGTTTTCTTCCCTTTAGTCTCGTTCACCACAAGTTTACATAGTCATAAATTCGGAATCTTCAGTTGATATAAAATTACAAATTTTCTTGATAAAACTCCATTAGAATTTGCTAACTATTCTTTCACTATGTCAGTCAGTTATTTAGTTATGATCAAAGTATCGTCTGGCACATATATAGACATAGGTCCAAATGAATAAATTAATGAGGTATGACAACTTGAACCAATACATATGTGTCTAGTTCTACATTGTAAATAATAACATTCTATTATGATTTGATAAAATACTTTTGAAGTCGACTTTTTGAAATCCTTTTGCAAGATAGTTTATATTCAATAACGAAAATAGTATTAACTTAAATCACGAGTTATAGACTGTACATTCGGAATGTTGGAAACGTTTTTAGTGAGACTATAATTTATGGACAAACCAATCAGATTTAAGATAACAGGTCTTGAATTTTGGCGCAAAATTCATTTATCCATTTGGCTAAATAGTGTTTTGGAATTATAGCTAATGTCAGTTCATGATGAAAAACAATAAATCTAATTCCTAACCTTAACCATCATCTGAAAATTCTAATTCCTCACATCAATTTATAACCGTCAATTAGTCTTAGTTATTAGGTGGCCACTCTCAAGGTTACTTCGGAGTCGCTCAAAGGTCGTCCATAATTTATAGTCAGACTGCTTTCTTTATTGAGCAAGTTAATTTCGATTCGGGCAGTTATTCGTAATTAAGATGAAGTTAGACATGAATGTTCGTTGATTCAAGTTGCCAATACCAACAAGGTGAAGAATAAAGAATTCGAAACAATTGTTACATCAATGACAAGACTTGAAATCACAGACCGGTCTAAGTTGGAAAAGCATATAAAATCTGGACGGCCGTTTCGTCCTAGTACGGGACTCTATAGATGTGTGCACCCATTACCCTGTGTTCGGAAATCGAATCCAGGAACCTCGGTTTCACACGCAAACGCCTAATTTCTAGACCTCTGAGATGGGATACAGTGACTTACATATTGGTTAATTTAATATCGTGACTAGCTTCAGGATTCAACTTCCAAAGTTCTAATGAGAATGTGCTACCAGTGGAATTCAATTGTGTCGAGTGTGAGAAAGTTGTCCATCGAAGACAATGGAAAATGGTCGTACAATACCGTGGATCTATTGAATTTCGTCTTAGCTCAGTGGTCTAGGCGTTAAGTGTTCACATGCGAAACCGGAATTCCTGAGTTTGATGCGGGTGATGAATGCGCATTGATGTGGAGTCCTATAATAGAACGAAATGACTGTTCATTGCTTTCTGATTCTTAATGATTAATTTTGTCTACCTTCTATAGAATTCAGTGATATATGCATATTTAGTACATGTGGAATAGTATGAATAAAAATGTACGGTTAACGAAGAAATTTAATTCAATAGAACCGATAGAATTCGTTAAATACTTAATGACTAAACCAACATACAATTGGTTAATACTCAATGATCCATTCATGCTAGCTAATGAAAATAGTACACTATATAAACTGTATGCTATATACTTGAAATATTGAATTGTTAACTAAATTTTAAACTATTCTACTTTACCACTTGAACTATGAAAGTAATCAAATAATCAAAATTATATATTCTTTCTCAAGCTTTACTTTCAGAGTTAATTAACAAACTGAAAATTAAGGTAATTGTGATGTTAAATGACTTAATGTGTTCTATCAGTTTCTGGTATAATTTCAAAAGTATTCTTTAATAGATATTTTCTAACAGTGTTAAGATCTTCACATGATTATTATATACTTGAATTTTACCATTGATGTTTTGAGAACTGAAATTGATCAGTTTCTTATTACCATATGTGCATACTGTGTAGATTGTCTTGATATTTCCTGAAGTCATAAGCTTTATAAACAAAGTTGGATATTGGCTAACAGTGAAATCAAGAACGTGCATTTCGTCCTATCTTAAACTCGTCATCTGAATGTACTTGCATTTCAGAGATAATGTTTACTCTGGGAGTCGAATCCAGTACCTTTCACTTCAATATGCACATATGCAATCCTAAACATCAATGGGAAGATTCAAGTAAAACAACATCAAGTGAATTTAAAATTCACTCCATTGCACAAGCAAAAGTGGCTATCAGGACTCAGTATATAAGTGGATAATGTGATAGCGTTTGAAGCGAACGGTACTGGATTCGAGCCCGGGAGTAAACATAATCCAGCTGACGATTCCCAAGTAGAACGAAACGCGCATTCTGGATTCCACTGCCATCCACTATCCGTCTTTGCTTATAGTGTTAAGAACCATTGCAAATTTTACATCATACTATATACTGTTTATATTTTAGTAAGAATTTATCAAAATGATTTTCAGAAAATTTTAGATGTAGTTGAATAATTAGGAAAGATGAAAATGTTTAATGTTACGTAAATTACTATTATTTAATTATACACCTACTACTGAGTTTAAGATCAATTATGACTTCATTATGAATATACTGTGATTTATTGTAGTCCTATCACTGATGGATGTAATCTTGTACGTTTTTAAGTCATAGAACAATACAATAAATAGAAAGTCTTCTATCTTCCTGGGAGATAAAAAGCTATGTGAACCAATGGGGGTTGATATCTGTGCTTGTTTTTATCAGTCTTTTGTGTTATTGTTTAATCTAAAGGCCATTCGTCTGGTTAGCATAAATCTAACTCTTTATTTAATAAACTACAACCCGTAACGTACAACTTTTGGGAGGTTTATATCTAACCTCAAGATTCTTTGTATTTTGTGGTTTCTTCGATGTGGTTTATACAGGAGAATCTGGAAGAGAAAAGGTGACTCAGTGACTCAGTAAGCACATAAAATACACTTTCTTACGATAATGGAGGAAATCGACAGTAATAATTAGAGAGTAAAATATAAACTATCCGATAGCCTATGGTTTCAAATGTGTTACAAATCGAATAATCATATTTAGTTGGTAACGTATTCAGTTTTAATTTGTCATTAAAAACGTATGCATTCCACCAACAAATATACTGTAATTTTTATTTCTGTAGGTTCCTGATTTACTTGGAAATATTGATCAAGCTTATCCTGTTTTAAATTCACTCAGTTTATCCACGTCTGCAATTCAGAATGTTTGGGCGTCTTGTGATCATCGGTGTATTCTTTGGTAAGTTATATAAAATTTTAATTTTCCAGGTAAGTTGACTGAGGTGTAACTGACAGATTTATTGAATACATGTTTTGTGAATTTAGCTTTCAAACATACTTTTTGATGCTAACGTTAGTGGAATTAGTATTTTTAGTGGGATTCGAACATTCAACCGAGTGAATGCTAAGGAACTGGATACTGTGATTACCACTTCACAGATTTCCTCCTCATTCACATCACTTGTGGAGTCGGTGGGATATCCGTCTGCCAAATAAAAGATGAGTTTACTGTGCAACAGATCGTTTCGTTCTATTTAATGGCAGAGAAACGTGTTGTTTAAAATTAAAGGATATCCGTAGGTTACTAGTATTTGATCATAGGTGTCTCCAAACATCGCTCGTGCATCTTGGCACCATCGAGTTAGCAATTCTGAGGTTAGAAGAAACCCAAGGGCGAGCAAAGGCAAATACAGCTACAGTCAATGAAGAAATTGACCGTGGAACTGGGTCATGTAGGTAGGTACATATTATCTGATTTTGGTGGAGTTTTGTTCTCTGAGTTAGATAGTTTGTTTGTGGAGCTTTCATCGTTTGTCTGAACGACATCATCAGCACAAACTCCGGATATGAGTGAAGTGTTCGAATTCCCCCACATATGGCTCACAGCTTGTCCTGTAGACCTCAATATTAATTGGTTATTGTTGACCTTTAACCTGTCATTGTTTACTTTATTTTGGTTGTATCTCCCATTGATTTGATGTTTGGTCCTTTATTTGTCCATAATTTTTCTGATTGGTTATTAAGTTGGATCGATTTCAATGTGTTTGTTGATTGCTGACTGACCTTGTAACAACCTCTAAGTCCCTGTTTCGAACCCCACTCCACCGGATATGGTCTAGGCAGCCCGGTAGTATCTTTACCCCTCATATCTAGATTGCGGCTCATACCGAAGCACCTGGTTACCGAGTCAATTTATCTATGTTTATTTATATATTCTTTTTCCAATGAGTAGTAAATTCAGATGAGCGGATATTTGGTGTAGAGAGCTAGTTGAAATGACTTTTTCAGCAAATATATCGGAGAATTTTTCAAGCATGCTGTATCCTCTAAACTAATCGTAAAGCTTTCATTGCCTCTCTAGGCAACAAAAAAATTAAAAAATACTCCTAAAGGAAGAGTGTGTTATTGGCGTTTCCCCACTACAATTAACTAATAGCCGTTATCCTGGAATATGAGTTTTTATCGTAAATTATATGGCTATTGTTTGCATATGTGCGCATTTTTCTCCATTATTTCTATATTAAAGCGAACTTTCACAAATCCTATATATTTCATACTATGATATGATTGCCATAGGGGTTTGAGTAAACCACTTACTTTCAAAGTTTACATCACGGACTGATATAAGTTGGACAGTTATTGAAAACCAAGATGTGCTAGACAGCCGTTTCCTTCCAGAAGTGTACATCCACAACATCACCGAACATCAACATCAGTACTTTCAGGTCTTGCAGCAAACGCTTAACCTCTAGACTACTGGCTCGGCATACAATGGTTTTCATGTTTTTAACTTCAATCAATTCACAATGTTAAGGAGTTGTATGCTTGTACGCAATAGTTGTCCATTGTTTTCTACTTTTCAATGGACTGAAATCAGTCCATGATTCTAAATATGATGTAGTTATCGACTATTTTTCATATTTATTTGTTTTATTTTACTTCTCTTTATGTGATTAATCATTTCTCTCATTGATTCTGTCTATCTCTCTATATATAATGAAAGGGGAAAGAAATACAAAACATTGAAACAATCTCTTTTTCTTTCATACATAATTTTGTCATAGGTAACATTCGATAATGTATTTTTGTTCTTCATTATGATAGGTGTTTACAATTGATGTTGGTATTGAACAAAGGTTTACTTGAACACAATTCAGTGAGTTGTCTGTTTTTCGTTATTTCTTTCTTCCTCTCTATCCCACTCGTTGTTTTTTTTCTTCCTTTTATGGATTGTTTGTAGGTTAAACATGGTTACAAGGTTTGTTTTGTTATTGTTGTGTTGTACATATGTATACATTTTTATGAACAGAGTATATTGTTATAAGTAACGATATAATCGAAAAAAATGTGAATTCTTTACTATTTGGAACTTATCTACTGATGAATGTACTTGATACTTTTTTTTTTCAAGAATTGATATTCGTACTGAGAGTTGAATGTTGTATCTTTAAACGCCAACGCATTATTCATTAAGTTATTAAGTCCCAAGAAGTTATTAAGTTTATGCATTTTAAAACTAATAGAAACATAATGATTATTCATGTTCAGTGTAAATTTTAGACTTTAGTTCAAAGTACTTCTTTTTCAATTACAAATGAGTGATGAGGTGGTTAGTGACTACGGATATACTATCAGTTTTATGTCTGACCTCAGGACGGTACATAGACAGTTTTTTGAAGATCATTTATTTTCACAGATTTAAATCATGAGTCAGTAGAAGCTAGACCACCATTGAAAACCTGGAAGCACTGGACGGCCGTTTCGTCCTAGTATGGGACTCCTCAGCAGTGCGCATCCACGATCCCGCACCACGCGGGGCTCGAACGCAGGACCTACTGAAGACAATGGTGTACGGTGGCGCGACTTCGTGGATTGGTTGAAGTTAGACATTAACACCGTTGGATGCCGGCCCAGTTGTCTAATGGTTAAGTGCTCGCGCGCGAAGCCAGTAGGTCCTGGGTTCGAGCCCCGCGTGGTGCGGGATCGTGGACGCGCACTGCTGAGGAGTCCCATACTAGGACGAAACGGCCGTCCAGTGCTTCCAGGTTTTCAATGGTGGTCTAGCTTCAACTGACTCATGATTTAAATCTGTGAAAATTTCTAAAAATCTCCACAAACCCCTTCTGATTATTTATTTATTTATTTAAACACATAAACATTGATGCCCCCAAATGCCCTGGTACGGCCGAGAGTGGGGAGAGTCCGCTCTCCCTCTCGAAATGCTCTCACATGGCCACGCGTATATAGCCTCTGCCAGGGAAGTCCCACTCACTGCCTTCTCGTGACGGGGGTGTTGTTGACGAAAATGAGAGGACGAAAAGCGAATGTCCGGCGCTTTAACCGGATTTCAAACCAATGGTGCACATGGGCTCCAGTATCCTACGGGAACAAATGGCGTATGAACCAATTGTTGGTCACCGGCTTCCATGGGACGCATCTCCTTACGATGCTCCACTGCCTTGTGGTTAGGACCCTCAGGTCGAAGGCTCGGGGTGTGCCCCCCTAAGAAAACCACCTGCTTCGGTTTGGGCACCCGGGCAGTATCACAGCCCTCACACATATCAAATGAGATTTGTGTGGCGCATATGTATTTGTTGCCCCTTTGTACCAATATCTATGTGTTGAAACAAATAAATAAACATTGATACAAGGAGGCACTGAATACATGTGCGCCACATTTTGTCATTCGATTTGTATGAGGGCTGAGATATTGCCTGGGTGCCCAAACCGAAACAGGTGGTTTGATCCACAAGACAGTGGAGCAACGTTAGGAAATGCAGTCCCATGGTAGCCGATGATCATTAACTGGTTCATACGCCATTTTTTTCCATCAGGATCCTGGAACTAGCCCATGTGCACAATTGGTTTGGAATCAGTGTTTTCCAACTACACTGGGTGGACTCTCTATGTTCACCAATCTGGTTAAAGCGCTGTACATTCGCTTTTCGACTTCTCAATTTCTTAAACAACAGTAATGCCACGAGAATTCAGTGAGTACGACTTCCTTGATGGTGGTTGTATGCACATGTCCATAAGAGAGCATTTGTAGAGGGAGAGAGCTGACTCTCCCCACTCTTGGCTGTACCATGGCATTTGAGGCTATAAATGGGATGTCGCTGCCATAACTTACGTTAAATACTAGTAGGGTATACGCACCTTTTATCGTAAAAAGCTGTATTTCAAGACCTTAGTCTCATACAGAGGAAACTGCTGTTCATTATACTCGCCTCTGGACAATTTAATTGTCATTTCACTTTCTCCATAGACAAAAAGTTGAGTAAAATGTTTTTGCTTAACCTTCTGAAGCATAAAATATCGTTTTTATGTTGTGAATTTTAAGGACTTTCAATGACTAAAACGAGCAATGATATTCTAGTCGTTTGATCGATATGAAGGGTTATATGTGTTTCGATGGTGAACTTGTATATTTCTAGTGAGTTTGTAATGCAGAATTCCAAAGAAAAAACCAGTAAATTGTGCTTTGGGATTTGTTGATAAATGATTCCCCAGTTGGTGTAATGCTTAAGTAAATCACCACTATCTCCAGGTAAGTCAACTATCAAACTTCGTGTCTGAAAGGGACACGATGCGAAACAGAAAAAGGAAAATTGCCAGTATGGGATTGTGGGGATTGTTGAGTTTTTGATTTAGATCATGAATCAATCAATGTTAGACTACCATTAAAACTCTGGAAGCACTATATGGTCGTTTCGTCCTAGTATGAAACTCCTCAACAGTGCTCATCCACGGTCCCACATTCGGGACTAGAACTCAGGACCTCCGGTCTTGCTCGTGAACGCTTACTGACAATCATTATATGCTTACTAATGACTAGCTTCAACAGGTCATTTTCGGAGTTCTAGTGAGAAGCCTTGACCGGTGAAGCTAATCCATATCGGATGTGAAGCAGTTACCTACCTAAGACAGTGGAAGCTAGTCCCGTAATTTCGTAAATTGGTCGAAGTTAGATATTAACACCGTTGGATGCCAGTTCAGTTTGACGTTTATGTGGGAGACCGGATATCTGGGATTCGAATACTGCTATTGAGGAGTTCATTACTAGGACCGGGTTGCCATCCAATGCGTTCAGGTTTTCAATGATGATCTAACGTTGATCGATTCATGATTTCTATCAAAAAGAAAAAGTTTTATATCAGATTACATAAAACTTTAATCGAAGATACAATATGAATATGAGTTATATAGATATATTATCATTTTTACTCATCATTTTATTATATCAACCGTTAAACATGATGGTTTTTAATCTTAAATGTACAATTTATCTACTTGATTAATTTGTTTTCTGAATTAGTTTCTTTATTTTTTTTTCAATGTTCATAAGATACTTATGATCATTAAAAGTTGGTCATATGTTCATTCTCTATGAATTCTTCATATGTATTTATTGTGAATGAATCATTGAATGTAGTTGACCTCGATTTCTTATTACTAACTGTACATTGATAAATTAATTCATAGTTTTCTTTTTAATTCAAGACATACATATATATACATAAAAGAACGGGGGTTTTGTGGATATTATAGTAATTTAATTGTTGAATTCATGAGCCAATTGAAGCTAGACCACCATGCAAAACCTGAACGGCCGTTTCGTTCTATTGTAGGACTTCTCAACAGTGCGGATCCACGATCACGCCTCACGAGATTCGAACCCGGGATCTATCAGTCTTGCGCGCGAACGCTTAACCTCTAGACAACTGAGCTGGTCGGTATCCAACGGTGTTAATGTGTAACTTCAACTAATCCATGAAATTAAACGACAAGAGACCTATAGGTCCCAAGTTCGAATCTCACGAGGCGGTATCGTGGATGCGCATTGCTGAGGAGGTGCACGATAGGACGAAACGGCCGTCCAGTCCTTCCAGGTCTTCCATGGTGATATATATATATATATATATATATATATATATATATATATAAGTTTTTAATTAGATATAGTATACAATGTAGATTTACTAAAATATACATACTTGTATATATAAAATAAACAATAGAAGTCATGTTTATCAAATCGAAGTGTAACACACTAGCTACTTAATTAATATACTAAATAATAACATGTTTACATAGAGATATGAAAGCTATTGGATTCGATTTTTTTTGTCTTAGTTATGTTGGTACCCATTTCTCATGAAGAGTACTAAATTAGGCTGAGACAGTTATTAAGTTTATGTTGATCTTTATTAGTTCCAAAGATCCTTAGTTCTCTTCCAAGATCATGAGCGTACGCTTTGTTAATAAATCCCACATCAGATCACAATAATTGTCCAGTACTTCTTCATTTGCAAATAATATCTGTTCTGTCCTGTGAACTGGCAATTAAGCAATCTCTAAAAACTTTCTATTTCATGGACACCAATGAAAGTTCGCCCTAACAAAACTACTGTTAACAATGGTAACTATTGACTTTTTAAAATAAGAAAAAGTAAATGTTTCAATCTTATAATTGAATGTTCATTCTCTTCTCTTCAGCTTTCTTCAGATGCTATCAGTCGTTTGAATATATTTCGTAATCTACTTATTACAAGACCTTTGTTATCATATACTATTCATCATGATCATGATAATTATCAAGAATCCAACTTCAAATTGTCACAAACAATTTCATCAGATATGTTTTGGATTGATAAAACAAACCAACTGAATTCTATCATGAATTTTTATGTGGTAAGTATGTGTTTTGTACTTCATATGTTTTACATCAAACTAGAAAGTGAATTAAGAAATTGGAAAGTATATAGTATTATCAGTCTAGAATTGTGGAGATTTTTAATTTTCTTATTGACATCATGAACCGATTGATGTTAGACCACCATTGTAAACCTGGAACTACTGGACGGCCGTTTCGTCTTAGTATGAAATTCATCAGCAACGCGCATCCCCGATTCTGCACTCGGAATTCAGTGGGTAACTGTCTCACACCCGACACAGTTGAAGATGGTTGTGCAATTTCATGGATTGGTTGAGGTTAGACATTAAGAATGTTGAATGCCGGCTCATTGGTCTAGAGGTTAAGCGTTTGAAGCAAACGGTACTTGGTTCGAGTTCCAGAGAGAACATCAACTCTGAGATGCAGGTACATCCAGCTGGTGAAGAGTCTCAAATAGGGCGAAACGCACGTCCTGGATCCTAATACCAGCCACTATCCATCTTTGCTTATAATGCTTGTGAATTAAGGCAATTTTGTGACAAGCCACACATTATGCACATATGCCAATAAGAGACTGATCAATTGTAGTCCTAAACAACGATAAAAGTAAAACAATACCAAGTGAATTTAACGTAATCTATTGTTCAGTAAATCCATATTTACATTCATAGTTGTATGAAGCTATTAGCTAACTACTGTACATTTTATCAAAATAAATACTTAGGGTTTAATTCTATAACTCTATCTTTTACACTTCCTACAATACACTACCATTTTCTTTTCCTTATACATTACATACATGATCAATAGGGTATGGGAATCATTCTGTTTTTTCTTCTCAAAACAGTCGGTTAAACTATTTGTGTTCAGACAAAAGTTCATAAGTAGTATTTATGACTCATTTAACTATGTGAATGAAATAAAACAGTATAACATATTAAGGTCAATGAATAATGGATAAGACACTTTTTATTACAAAACTTTGTAATACATTTTTAGTTAACTGACTATTAGTTTCTCAATATAGAGTGACTAGCTTCAAGACGGAACTCCTGATATCTTAGTGAGAAGGCGCAAGCATTGTAGTTCATTCATGTCAGATGTGAGACAGTTACCTACGACAGGTAATGGATAATGGTCGCGCATTATCGTGAACCGAGTGAAGTTAGACATTAACAATGTTGGATCTCAGGTCAGTGGTCTAGGGCTTACGAGTTCACGCTCGAGACTGAATGTCTGACCACTCGTGGATAGACGAAGCTTCTGTTCCGTGCTTTCAGGTATTCAATATTCGTCTAGCTAAGATGAATTCGTAATATAATGACAGTTTTTTCTATTGATTAAAGTTTACAAATATCGTTACTTTGGAATAAATTGAAAACAATAACAACAAAATGTTTACAGAATAATTTACTAACTACTGAAAATACATTAATCTTATCTACCGATACAACCAATTCTGGACTCGTTCATCTTTTTTTTTCTTACCATAATGAAATAGGTAGATGACTTCTAGAAATATTTAACTTTATTGCTATAGAAATACGTATTCGTGTTTTTATCGTGAAAAAACATTGTGACCATACTAACGGTCACCCTAGTTACTGAACACATTATCTACTAATATCTCTTTTCTATAAACATAATTGACTATGTTTATGATTCACTTTCAGAGAATAAATTAAATAGATTTATCAATGAAAATCATACCGAAAAAAAAGTCATGAGCTGACTAGTTAATAGTCATCGATTCTTCTTTTAGTATTAGAAGGGGTTTTGTGAAAATTATAGTAATTTTAATAGTTGAGATCATGAGCCAATTGAAGCTAGATCACCATAGAAAAGCTGGAAGCACTGGATGGACGTTTCGTCCTATTGTGGGGCTCTTCAGCCGTGAGCATCCACGATCCCACCGGGTCTGTTGTGAGGTATTAACTCACTGAAGACAATGGTGGATGTGCCACTCAATTTCGTGGATTAGTTGAAGTTAGACATTGACACCGTTAATATTTCAATAGTTGAGATCACGATTCAGTTGAAACTAGACCACCATAGAAAACCCGGATACCGGCTCAGTGGTCTAGAGGTTGAGTGTTCGCTCTTGAGACTGATAGGTCCTGGGTTCGAATCTCGTGAAGCGGGATCTTGGGTGCACACTGCTGAAGCGTCCCACAGTAGGACGAAATGGCCGTTCAGTGCTTTCAGATTTTCCATGGTGATCTAGCTTCAATTGACTCATGATCTCAACTATTAAAATTAATTCTTTTGTTTATTTAGTGAGTCAACATTTATGGATCGGTGATTATATTGAAATGTTTGAATATTTTTTCTCATTATGTCTTTATAGCCCTATAATGGTCTACTAGTTAAATTTGGTCCATTTTTCTTCAATCCAGAACAACATATTTTGATCTTGGTCACTAATGTAAGTTATGTAATTCTATGATTATTGTAGTGATTTGTTTAGGTTTTATGCATTTATCAAGAATTTATGGGATGAATTCATCCTACAGTTTAATCTCATTTTTAATACCATTGAAAACTAGGTACCGCTGGAAATCTGTTTTGTCGTAGTGTAGGACTTTTGCAGTGAGCTACCATGATCCCGTTAAAGATCGCACCCAGGGCCTTCAGGTCTTCTTAACCGTTGCAACTACTGAATCGGCTTTCAGTGGTATATTCCATTTGCAATATATTATGACGATCATCCAGTGCCATTGGTCAGGTTATACGTATGGGCACTGCTCTGAATTTTTATACAGGGATAATGTGACTGTTCATTTTTCACTGGTTTTCAATAGGGAGGTCAGTCTATTAATGATACAACCGAAGGGTTTTATTAAGTGGCGTTATATTTCCAGAAGTAGGATTCAATATCTAGATTTCATCTTATTCAGTAGACGTCATCCCAGATAAATGTCTGTTTTTGGTTAAACTCTACTGTACGGTTAAAATTTCTAGACGTTATAGACCATGTTAATTATCTTTAAAATGAGTACTGACTCACAATATAACTGTGTATTCTTTCAGTTAGTGATTAACAAGAAACTAGTGGGTCATTAGTGAATAATAACATGTATAATAATAGTTTATGAGGTGTTCATTAAGGTGGTTTTTTGTGTCTTTAATAATAGGTAGCAACGTAATTTTCATCCTAAACTGTAGTCAGCTCAAGTATTATCTTTTTTTCACTACATTTTTGTCTTGGTTTTTTTTTATCTCTGTATTGTGCAGTTATTATCCTACACAGACTTGAACCCAGGACTTTTGTGTTCCATAGATTAACTATTAAGCTAATAAAGTCGATAATGAGGCAATTGTTGAAGATAACAAATTAAATGATTCTTTATTTGTCCATTTTTTTTGTATACGAGAGTTATGATACTACTTTCTAATTGTTTGGACAGAAACGATTGTTTATTTTAATGTACTGTTTTCGAACCGTTGATTTGTAAGTCCAATCTATCACACAGTTTGTATAAGGATAACCATGAGAAAACCAAAAAGAAGCATTAAGCAAGTTTATTGTGTCTTAGTATGAAACATATCAACAGTTTTTATCACACCCAAGACTGTACTAGTCATTGAATCCTTTAAGATCCTGTGGATAACAATAAACGAGTAAATATACAGTGGATCTTTATTTTCAATTTCAATTAATTGATTATATATTACTAAAATTAGTTAGTCAATCACTTCATGATGTGAAATATACTCAAGTTAAATAAATATTCATAAACCTCTCATCCTTATTTGGAAAAACAACTAAATTGCCTAATTACTCTTAACTTTTCAGGCACCAGAAGACTGGCTTCATTTATGCATTGAAATAAATCATACAAGTAATAAACATTGGTAAGCAGTTACAAGTTTATTTTGTGCACAAAAATTAACTGTTTTCTTCTTCACAGTTAAAATCACCAATTTATTTAAGCTAGAACGTCGTTGAAAATCTGGGAGCATTGAATACCCGTTTAGTCCTAGTATGGAAATCCTCAGCAGTGCACATCCATGATATCGCATTCGGGACTCAAACTCAGAACTTTCGATTGTTGTCATCTTGGCTATTCTTTAGATTTTGTTTTTACGCGTTAGTTCGTGCGATGCCATGAGTTATTGAATAGTTTTACATAGCATAACTATATACATGAAGTAGGTTTTTAGTGAAATATACCTGATATATATTGGTGATTGTCATATTGTTGGGACGGCTTCCGGGAACTACAACGGAGCCTCCAGATACCCTAAAGGAGCCGAAAAGTTTCCATCCAATCAGAACGTGATAAAGTTTTCTAGAATATCAACATGGCATGCTACTATTGGAAACTGGCATAACATGCATCTTTGCGGATTGGCTGAATTATAATGTTGGTATAACAAATGCTAATATCTATAAATACCCATGATTTTTTGTACATTTTGATTCTTACCCATCAAGCACTTCTCCAGTCTTTTGATTTGCGACTATGAGGTTCTATGCGGTCGAGTTCCGTAGTTGTATACCGTATTTTGCGTAAATCATGTAGCGAACACATCTTTGAATAAATTTATCAATATGAACTAATGTATTTGATTGGAGATCCTACAAAAGTTATGGATAATTTTCATCATTGATTGACTTTTAACTTGAAAACCAATAAAAAAAAGTATGCTGGAAAGTTGTTTAATCTTAGTTTAAAGTATGTCAGAATCACCAATTCATGTTCATCGTCAGTGATTAAACCCATTAACTTCAGTTCTCATAGAGAACGCTTAGCATTTGGACCTACTGAGTTAGCAATTAATGATTTATATCTCACGATAATACTTGATCATTATCCGCTTGTTTCACAGTTGGACTAGATCAGTCATTAAAATTATAGTTTTCTATCTATGAACTTTTCAATCAATTGTTCTATTTCTTTTCAATCATAGTGATTATTTTGTTCCAATTCCGTCATCATTTGTCACTTGGTTACCGGATCCACTAACTGGAAGATCGATTGCAGCTGGTTTAATTACATTACCAATGCTACAAAAATTAAATGTGTTTCACAGCTTATCACTACCACTTACAAATCAAGATAGTATTGATGAGTTCAAGTTGTATTTAGTAATCTCAAGTGGTATAAATCCATTTTGGGATAATGTGAGTTATTTTGATCGGTTTTGTTTATGTTAAGATTTCATAGCGTTTTGTTTATTTTTTTAAAAAAACATTCTTATACGGGCGTATGTCTTAAAAATCTAGGGTAATGTTGTGACTTTTGCTCCTGTCAATTATCACGTGACAAAATTGCTAATCAGAATACCGATCTTGTCAATATGTTAAACCAATAATATGTTGGTCAGCACAAGCAGCTCTCGCGCGAGAGAATGATAGGTCGGGATCGTAGATGCGCAGTGCTGAGGAGTCCCACAATGGGACGAAACGGTCTTCTAGTGCTTCCAGGTTTTCCATAGTGGTTTAGCTTCAATTGACTCATGATATCAACTATTGAAATTACTACAATCTTCACAAAACCCCTTCTGATTACATATCAACTGATTCAACTAATCACTGTTCGATTATTCTGTTAATCTTTTATGATTTGCTGGCGATATCTTTGTTCTACGTATATAAAATACATTTGATATTTAAAGATAATTTATATTTAGTCCAATACATGATTCAACTCCACTTATATTTTATACACTTTAGTCGATTAGTAACCACTACATACCAGATATTTGAAATTGTTAGTTAGTTTAGTACCAATATCATGAGATTAAAATCGCTTCACATATTTCTTTCTGCGAACTAATTCTTTCTAATTCTTACTATGTCCTAATATGCAGTCTTTCTTTTATATATGACAACCACTGAATTAACTACTTCTATGAATTCGGTGTTCGTCTTGTTGTGCTAATGAGGTATGGCAAGTTGGACCGATGCATATATGTGCCTGGTCCTACGTTGCAACTAACTGACTGTCAATAACATTGTTTTCTCTAAAACTATACACTATGGCAATTAGTGGTCCTGAATTCGACTCCATTTGAATTGTATGAATGATTGTTCTTGAAATATATATGTCGTCAATCCTCATATATAATTATAGACTGAAATCGCGTTAGTGAATAACGGAATTAAATAAGTCATATGATGAGAATAAAGTTTGAATAGGTATGTTTCATACCATCGTTGATCTGGATAGAAGATGAGATAAACGAGGTGAAACGAAAATGATGCGAAGTGGAGAAAGTGAGTTAGCCAACTCAATCTAACCAAGCGTTACTCAGTATTTTATAGTCTGACAAAAATAAATTACAGACATGTGATGAGTAAGATAAGAAGTACACACACACACACACAATCACGGTCACATCAATCAGTTAAGCGAATGATTAACAAGATGAAAATATAACTACTGGAGAAGAATGGATAAATTGGTTTTTCCGAAAGCTAGAATAACTTATGCGGGCTTGATATGAAACCCGACACCACAATTTAACAGATCAGAGTTTACGTGTCCACCAGATTATGAAACCAATATTACAATACATTAGTAATCTTGAATTGAGGGCACTACACACTTTTATCAAACTACTGAGTTGATGAAATTTAACACTGTTTGTATGTTGCACAGTTGTAAGTGATGTCTAAGTATATTGCTATGTAGTCTTAGAATAGAACAAAACAACTATTCGCTTTAACATGGTATTCAATGGTTTTAAGAGTGATTTCATATATATATATATGAACAACCTAACCTATTACTTACAGGTCTAGACACTTTATTGAAATAGTCTATTTACTTGTTATTTATGCTTACAGTTTTTTTTATACAGACTATAAATATACACTGGTTATTTGCGTGTATTGTGTACATGTGAATGTATGTGTAAGTTCATGAGTGTTTGTGTGAATTGTGCAGATTTTTGTCTCAACATAAGGCTTTAAAACGTATTACATTTTCATATAGTCCAAATTTAACTATCGAAAACATAACGGTATTATTTCATTTATTTAAACCTAATTCTTGTGACTTCATTGTATGACCTTTTAGAAGTAGTGATTTTCATTTCATTGTGATATGATGAGGTCATTAACCAGTGTATCGAACTAGTTCTTTTCTTGTCTCTAATCTGCTAGTTGATTTCATACTCAGAAGCGTGTGTGTTTGTTCTAAAATTAATACTTAAACTGTTCGACATGTTTAACAAAGTCTTTTGTTCTAACATTTTAACTTGAAGTTGACATAGCTAGCAACATTCTAACATATCTTTTCAATAGATATTCTGTAATAGTATTTAATGTTTGTCAGCTCTATGTTAATTCAATCATTGTAGGAGAGGTGGGATATCATTAAACACATGGCGATTTTTGTATTTTTTTCTAACCAGTTTTTTTCATTTAATAGTTGAATCCATGAATCAATTGGAGCTAGACTACTATGGAAAACCTGGAAGCTGTGGACGGTCATTTCGTCCTAGTACGGAACTCCTCAGCAATGCGCACCCACGACCCCACCTTACGAGATTCGAACCCAGAGCCTACCAGTCTCACTACTGAGGAGTCCCATACTAGGACAAAACGGTCGTCAAGTGCTTCCAGGTTTTCCATTATAGTTTAGCGTCAATTGACTCATGAATTCAACTATAAAATTACTAAATTCTCTACAAATCCCTTTCTGATAATATCAATAATCATTATAGTGTTACACAAAATCTTTCAAGCACGTATACTAAGGTCTATTGAAGCCTTGGCTATACGAAAATTGAAACCCCCTTTATGTGTTCAAAAACAATTTGTCCTTATACTTGACCTACCCTGGTATTACTGAATTATTAACCAGAGTGGTAATCACATTTGTTTTTATATGCTTTATTATTTTTCCTTTGTTATGACAGTTCAGTCACTACGGCTTAAAAAAAAAGTTTTTTGACCTTTAAATGTTTACTGAAAATTAATACGAATAAGTTTAAGTTATCATTAACCTTTGTTTACTGTACTATAAGTCGGAAATTATGTACTAAGATCAATTTACTAGTACAACAACATTATTTATTTGAACACATAAATATTGGTACAAGAGGGCACCAAATATATATGCACCACACAAAACAATGAGGACGGGAAGAGAAAAGGAAAGAAGGTAAGGAGCGCAAAGGAAAAAAAGAAGAACAATAACGACCAGATTAGTGTAAGGTAGTGTAATAATAATAATGGGGGAAACCGAAAGGTACAATCAGAACAAATCTTTTAGTTAAGGGAGACACAACCACTTTTTATGAAGAAAGTAAAAGAAGGTTACAGCAGGATCGCCACTGGCTTCTATTCTGAGCCATATCTGATAACGTCTCTAGCCACTGTGTAGCACCATCTCTCAGACCCCAACCAGGGAGTCGTGAAGGACCGACAGAAGCCAGTCCTTTGCAGCTTTCTTTCATACCACGACACCATGTCATGCACTGACCACCTCTCCGCTTCTTCCAATCAGTCCCAGAGTCGGCAAATAATGCACGACGTGGAATTCTCTGAGACGACATTCGTAGAACATGTCCAAGCCACCGAAGTCGGTGTTTCAAAAAGGTGACATCGATTGTATTGTCATCTCTGTGCCCGAACACACGATGCGGAACCTCTGCATTACTGATATGATGTTGCCACTGAATATCAGCAATCCTTCGGAGACAGTGATGATCGAACACAGAGAGTCGTCTAACGTCCTCAACTCGGAGAGGCCAGGTTTCACAAACATAGAGCAAAACTGCTCTCACCGACGCGTTGTAGATCCGAACTTTTACAGCCAGACTTACATCACGAAGGCGCCAAAGATGGCCCAGATTGGCATAAGCCACTCTGGCTTTCACTATACTTGCTTTGATCTCATCACTCACACCCCCACCAGCACTTATGCAGCTACCCAGATACACGAACTTCTCGACTACGTCTATCTGCTCACCATCCAGGGTGAGTACAGGATTGGAATCCTGCCAGTCTTGTAGAATTACTTTGCACTTCGAAGGTACAAAGCACATACCATACCTACAGACACTGATTGACAACTGATTGAATGCGGTTTGCATGTCTTGGGGATTATCACACAGTAAGACAATATCATCCACATACTCAAGGTCGAGAAGTCTTTCTCCAGGCAACAGATCCACACCACCATTACTTACATCCATCAGAGCTGTTTCCAGAATGTCATCGATGGCAAAGTTGAAGAGGGATGGTGAGATTGGGGAACCCTGTCCAACCCCACTGCTCGAATAGAACAATAGAGAAAGGTGGTTTTATGCCCTCACTCTCCCTGAGGTGTTTGTATATAGGGCCTTTAGGATGTTAATAAACTGCCCAGGCACATCCTTCTCCAATAGACAATCCCAGAGAACAGTCCTATCCAACGAATCGAAGGCAGCCCTGATGTCAAGAAACACTGCAATTGTTGGCCTTTGAAAGTATGGTGGTGTTCTAACATTTGGCGGAGGGTGAAGATATGATCAATACATCCTCGACCAGAACGAAACCCAGCCTGCTCCTCGCGAGTCAATCTTTCTCGGGTTTTGAACAGTCTACTAATTATGACCGAAGCTAATAGCTTGGACGCAATCGGAAGTAGACTTATCCCCCGATAGTTGTTACAGAAACGACGTGAACCCTTATTAAAGATAGGGACAACTATCGTCAGTCAGTCAGTCGGTCAGTAACAACGTAGAACTTCGTACGTACGTACATCAGTTCGAGTTGCCACACCACCTTAACACAGAGATGCAGTTGTCGATCCAAATCCCGTAGTGGTAGAGGTAGCAAGAGTGTAAGCAGTGATCGAGAAGATTAGGGTTTGGATATGTTATTTAAAGAGTATAATTCAGTGAAATAAATTTGGAAAGAGGAAAAAAGGGACACGAAGAATTCAGAAGATTAGAATTTGGGAGAACACAAAGAGTGGATGCACCTGCGCCATTGCAAACGATTTTGAACCATGGCATTCAGGTTCTCTAACCATCGGTTGCTATCATCTCGCGGTCCCCAACCAGGTAGTCTACACCTATCAACATGACTCAGACCACTTGTCAATGACTTCATGGACTTGTGCCATGTTTTTGTCTGACCGCCCCTAGCTTTCTTCCAACCTACTCATACACCATAAATCGTCGCAC